TCAGGCACAGCCATTTTCAGTCCACTGCCCCATCCAGGAGGGAACTGGGTGTCGACACTCTGGACACTTGGTCCCAGCACAGCAGCAGGGACTGAGCTGCCACTGCAGGCTCAGAGTGTCACGGCAGGCAGGGGCACAGCGGAGAGGAACCCCCAGGTGCCTTTTCCTCGGGAAAATTCTGGCACTGCCCTCCCCTCTGCCCAGCGTCTTTGGGGCAGGTTTTGCTCTGGCCCCGGGTGCATTTGCAGCCTCTCTGTTGACACTCACCTGTGGCTCCAGCCATAAGCTGGAAGTGAACCCAAATTCCTAACAGGGAGCTGGAGAGTCCCTCCAAAGCATGGATCTAGAAAATTCTTTGTGAGGCATCTAACGCCAGAGCAGCCTCAACCGTGAGCTTATAAATGGAATATTTCTCTCACGTCTCATTGGGAACTGCTGCTATAAGCGAGGGGAAAACAAAGCAGCCTTGGATGTCGCTGGGAAAGGGTGCATGGAACCACCGAGTGTTCACAGAGCAAATTCCAAAAGTCCAAAAAAAAAAAAAAAAAAACCCCCAACTTTTAGGGAATTACCAAAGGGTTTTACTCAGAGCCTGCCCCCTCCACCAAAGGAAAATAAAACCAAATACAGAGCTGCAGGGCGACATCGACGCTTCCCCTGCCGGCTGGGCACGGACACAAGAAAGAGAGCCAAACCCTCAAATCCCACCTGGACAATTTTTGGGAGCGCCTCTCCCGCTTCTCCGCTACTCTGGAGCGCAGTCACACACTCCTGCTCCAGGAAGAAGGTGACGAGCCACTTGATGAAGGCCACGCGGGCGGCCATGAAGGGCACCTTGGAGCAGCACACGCTCTCGTTGTTGCGGCTGGAGGTGACAAACGCGGGCCGGGGCCTCACGTCGGGGATGTCTGGTGGCCGGGGGGGGGGGGGACAAAAAAAGGGAGGCGGGAACGTCAGGAAGCGCTTCCCAACTTTTGGCAAAACGCGCCGGAAAGCGGCGGCCGGGAAGGAAGAGATGGGATAAAACAACGAGGCGGCAGCGCCGACATTCCCAAAGGGAATCGGCAGCCGAGAGCTCGGGAAATGCCCCAAAACGCCCCAAGTATTGCAGCTCTCTCCAAATCCCAATGGGAAAGGAAAAGTGATTCCAAAATTCCTCCCCCCCCCCCAAAAAGATCCCAAAAATTCCCCAAAGTTTCACCCATGCAAGCGTTTCATCCCGAGCGACAGCCCCGGAACAGCGGCCTCCCCGCCCGGGGATTCGTGCAAAAACTCGGGAGGAATTTGGGGAGAAATTCCAGGATTTGAGGGGGAAATTTGGGGAATGTCGGGAGAAATCTGCGAATTTTGGGGAAAAAAAATTGTGTAAAATCTGCGAATTTCGGAGGAAACGGGAAAATTGGCAAATTTTGGCGAAAAATTTGGGACAAATTCGGAGACTTTGGGGAAAAATTTGGGGAAAAAAATTGGAGATTCTGGGAAAAAACATGGAGATTTTAGGGTTGTTTTGGGGTTTTATTTCAATTTTGGGGGTTTCAGGAGTGTTTGTATGGGGATTTGGAGAGGTTTTGGAAGTTTAGGGTTAAGGGGGATTTGGGGAGTTTGGAGTGGGTTTGGGACTTTTAGTGGAAGCGTCGGGGAATAGTTGGGGAATTTTGAAGAATCTGGGAAAAAAAATGGGAATTGTAAGGGGTTTTTTTTTGTTTTTAAATAAAAGTTTTGCGGGTTTTGGGGTGTTTTCAGCAGTTTTTGGAAACGGTGGGGGTGGTTTTGGCGAGAAATCGGAATTGCTGGAAGAATTGGATGGAATTTTGGGCGATAAGAAGGGATTTTATAGAAAATTTTAGGGGTTGTTTTTGGAATTCTTAAGGGGTTCAGGGATAACGTGGGTATATAGGGATATATACAAATATTCCCCAAAATTCCATGGAAAACGTGGAGCTCACCCAGCACGGGCTGGTAGAGGTTGGTGAGGCGCGTGAAGGCCGGGAAAAGGTGGGGGAGGTAAAAACGCCGGAAGAGCGAGAACAGGAACCGGAAGCCGCTGTCCTGGTGCTCCCGGTGACGCCATTGCAGACTGGCGGCCTGGGAACGGGGAGACGCAAAGGGAATGATGGGAATGACGGGAAAACAACGGGAAACGGCAATGAGCAGAGAGAGAAATGGCAACAGAGCGCCTAAATCACCTGGACATGGAACAGGAGGGAGGGA